CTTATATATACCAGACTACCCTATATCTAGTAATCTCCCGACAATTCACGAAGGTAAAAGATATTTCCAGAAAGCAGGGGGCGTGACACTAGTCACGTAACCTCGCTGACGCAAAAATATTGTTTCTGATACAGGACTACAAGGTGAGTACGGTATAGATACCACTCATTTTCGTACTACCTTAGGTACCATTCGTTGTCTCAAAAGTTGGTTCTTCTGAACCCATTAATGAATTATGTGTTGAAGTAATTGTTTTCCCTTCCATCGTGTTATGTGTAATGCTCAGTAAGCTAGAGAAGTTGGGTTGTCTGCCTGCACAATCCAATGAAGTATGAATTTCAGTTGTTTGAGGCCAATAATCCATGCAATTATTTAATCTTTTGCTCACGGTAGATGCCACACTGTAGGTTTAGGTTAATTTTCGAACAAGTCCTTATCTGGTTTTCTGAAAACTTTGTGTTCAAGATCGGAGCACTGGTCAAAGAGATACTTTGTAACAGGCTTCCTAAAGATCCCATCTCAGCGTTATTCATCTAACTCTAAGGGAGATGGTAATTCATCTAAACATTAAAGTATTTTTACATCTTCAACTGGGTACCACACTATCATAACTTTCTGAATATGTTATGTCAGCCACACTACATCTGCCATATCCAGTGTCGACGAGGTCTTTCACCCAATACCAAGGCTCATCTAGCCGACTGGGATAAGACAGATAATTACTTATAATTAGAATGCAATGTTTCATTAGCTGGGTACATTTGTTATTAACGATATTTTCGGCCTTAAATCCAATAATTTCTCACAATATTTGTCCTCAATTTATATGTTAAATTAACAATGCAAAATAATCACAATAATAATAATTCAAAGTAGTTATAATAGACATAATAACCAATACTGTTAATCAGGATAACCTTAAAGAAAAAATAAGGTATAAATCATTTGCTTTTGTTGTTAAAAAATAACATTCACTGTTCATAAAATCTGCCAGGATTTAAAGAGCTATCTACTATTAGAACAGTGTTTTCACTCCAATGGCACGTGCGAAACTTTTGTTACTATCATTCCATTATTAAAATAACTGAGGAAGATTACACCTTCCAGGCATTACCCGTTTTCCTAGTTGTGAAAATTTTAATAGTCCACTTCTACGTGGTAAATTGCATGTAATACTAACCTGAAATGACTCAAAACAATAAGCATCTAGAATGAAAGGAGATTAGCCAACTTCTTTGAACAGCCGCCATTTTAAAAACGATACACGTCTGGCATCGGACATACGCTAACATACTTGAACATTTTGTTTAATCCAGTGCGCAAATGACGGCCAGCTGAATGCGCGAAAAGACCAAGGCAGGTGACAAAAACACCTTGAATCTTAATACACAAAGATAAACAATGTGTAGCATGTCTTCTCTATTTTATAAGCGTGATACTTTCAATACAACCAGTTCAGTGGGGGGAACAGAGTCCAATCTAATTTTTATTCTCAAGGCGAACTTGAATGCATTTCAGCCCATTTTCGCCACTGTCCAGAACTTGCAAACTATAAATTATCAGTAGAGTGTGTTTTGGTTTACTTTCCGTTTATCCGCTTACTAACACGAAGCTGTTACAAAAATGGTCAAACCAGTGCTCTGCCCACCACGGGTATCGAAACCCGTATTCTAGCGTTGTAAGTCCGCAGACATACCACTGTGCCACTGAGTGGCATTCACATAATGTGTTTTTTAATTTCGCGCAAAGCTACACGACGGCTATTTGCGCTAGCCGTCTCTAATTTAACAGTGTAACACTGTAAGGAAGGCAACTAGTCATCACCACCCACCGCCAACTCTTGAGCTACTCTTTTACCAACGAATAGTAGGATTGACCGTCACATTATAACGCCCCTACGGCTGAACGGGCGGGCATGTTTGGTGTGACAGAGATTCGAACCCGCGACCCGCAGATTGCGAGTCGAGCGCCCTAACCACCTGGCCATGCCGGGCCTCACATAATGACAGATGCAGAAAGGTTGTTCCGAAATATGAAGATGAATGCGTTTCCTTCAAAATTTTGCCAGCAGTCATGTAGACCATTTTTGTGCATAAAAAAAAAGCCTAATGAAACTTTAGAATAATTATGCAACTATGTTGGTAACATAAACCATATCATATTGTTTTTGAATTTCACGCAAAGCTACACGAGGTCTATCTGCGCTAGTCGCCCCTAATTTAGCAATGTAAGACTAGAGGGAAGGCAGCTAGTCATTAATTGTTTTTGTTGTCAAACGTTTTGAAAAATGCCTCCAAGTACCAGAAAAGACAAAAAAGAAAAACAGAACGTAATGTTTTAAAATGGTATAACAACGATATATATTAACTGGTTTTGAATTACCAAAAAATTATTTGGGTTCTCTGTTATCTTTTAACCTTTTTTTTTTTTGTTACAAACCCAATAAATATTGCAGGAAAATCAGTTTATAATGTGTAGAAAGTTTTATTTTTACACTTTAATTAGTGACAGATCTTTTTTACTATTTGTAACATGATATATAGATAATTTTTTTCAACAAAATTTTTTTTTATTTTCTATAGCTCAAAAACTATGATATCAATCCTGACACATATGTTTCTGGAAAACGCTCAAGATAAAACGAGGAAAGGCAAATGAAACAGGTAAAAAAACACACACAAATAAGTACATTTCAAATCATTATTGAGGCTTATAAGTATAAAGTATTTTAAGTAATTTGATATTTTTAGCCTTAACTTTATGGGTAAAAATGATTAGGTCAGAGGACCTTAAAGTTCTGGTTCGTTTGTTTGTTGGAAAGCACAAAGTTACATAATGGACCATCTATGCTCTGCCCACCATGAATATCAAAACCCAATTTTTAGTGTGGCTTACAGCCGAGCCTCCTTGGGACAGATCTGGTATGACCATCCTCAATTTAGAAATGTTGACCACAAGGAGGTAAAACAAACAATAGCATTTACAAAGAAGCTACTTACTCTTGACTGAATAGTTGGTCTGACTCTCACAGTTACAATACATCCACATCTAAAAGTAAGGTGCTGTTTAGCAATACATATTAGCTTTAACCTTAGACCTTTCAACTCACAAACTGACATGTGAACTACCAAGCCAAACAGGGGCACCACACAGAAGAAACATTGAAAAATAACTTTTTTTAGCTTTTTCATCATTAGATGTCAATTTTCTTAGTAATTATGCCAAAAATGCTTTAGTAAAAAATACTTCAAGAATTCAATGTAGAAAAAAATTTATATATTTATTCTAATCAGAAAAAATGTCCAATAAGTAATACTTAGACAACATTTTTCAATTTAATTTTTTAATTATTTAAAAACAGATTAATAACAAACTTCCTAGTAAAAAAATGTACTCAAAAAATAAAATGAAATCAAAATTTCTTGCCTAAATTTAATTATTTTTTTCCTCTTACTAGACACTAAAACTGCTATCTATAACAGGTGTGGTTTTCAGTTTAATGACAATATTATTAGTGTGTGATTTATTCTATCACTTAAAGTACTGTATGTATGTTATAAATGTAAAAATATAATTTCATTTCATACACAAGTTTATACATCAAAAAATATCTTCTTGTACAGCAGTGATGAAACACATTTATTACTATGAAACTGCCACTCCATGATATTTGGCAAGTTGTGTCTAATAAATAGTTGTTATCAAATTAATAGACTGATGTTCAGCCCATTACTATTAAACATTCAAGATTTTGGAAATATAGCAAGAAATAATACTGGTGTGAAAGTAATTAAATATTGCCAAGACATTTAATTGTAAAAATTTAACAAACTTTGTAAAACGTTTACACTATTTATTATGTAAAATCAAATACACTAATAAGTCGCATGCAAATATAGATTTCTAATCAGCTGTAAGTGTATTTTTTAAGCAAAAGTATATGATGAAATGTATCAAAAATGTAATCATACAACTCCTAATTAACATTTGTCAAATGCTTTATTCAATATGATTAAAAACAAACATACAAACATTTTTAAAACAAAAATATTTATGTTGTTTAGATGTCAATATTTTTCATATCAAATGCTGAAAATCTTTGACTAGTATATATACATTTTTTTGTTGTTTTTTATACACACACATAAAGAAAACTCCACAATAAATGCCAACTTATTCAATATATTTATGGATGGATAGTTATAAGTTGGTGGTCCACATCTGGTTTTCATACAGCTATCTACTGTTAGAATTCTGTTGACCTTTTCACAATCATTTAATCTTCAAAGTATACAACTACTGTAATGTTTCATTACCAAGGTTATTTAAGAAAACAAACATGATTTTAGAGATGTTGAAAAAAAAAATTTGTTCTTTGTATTATTCAGAGTTTGGAAGATAATACAAAAATAATTCACATCAAAGAGAATAAAGTTAGTACAACAGAATTCCTAAAACGTTTTTGGGGGGCATTTCAGGAAAATACCATTCATCAAGATGATTGACTGTCTTACAATATAAGAAGTTCAATGATGTTACTGCATAATGTGTTATCTATAAAGAAATTTGCATAAACACATAAAAATGATACATGACTAGGCTCCTACACAGCATAATACGCTTAAAGTATATAACTAAATAATGGACAAATAATTTGTTCTCTTCTCTAACAAGGTCAAAACTTACTATATCCTGAATGAACTAACAGTCAACAAACTGTTTTTTTCAGAGATACAACCTTAGTAGGGCCATATAACAACAACAAAACCATGTAAAGATACTTTATGAATCCCCAAAATCTTTTCCTATAAAAACTAAGTTACAGGAATCATCAATAAGACTAAATTTTACTCCTTCAATAAATTTATATGAAAAAAGTACTATTGAAAATTCTTTGTCAAAAATACTCTTCAGATTAGGAAACACAATGAGGAAAATCATAACAGTCAAGCAGGCACTAAATCCTATGTGATAGACTTAGCTAATGATAAATAATGAAATAGATGATCTACTCAAGAATAAAAGAAGCCAACATTACTTTAAGTAATCGGTGATAAATATATATAAAATCGATGCTCAGACCTTGATGTGACCATTAGCACTGCAACAGAAAATAAAATCAGAAAATGTAATTATTCTGGGTGTTACTTTTGCAACCCAGTCACTGTTGAAAAATCATATATATATGCATGCTGTTGTAATATAATAACCATACAAAGATACTTCTATGATAATGAAACAAACAGTTTCATAAGAGTTAGAGAAAATAAGCAAATTACATAGAACTGAAGCATTAGAAATAATTCACAGTTAAAAATAAAAGTAACACTGCCTACACTTGTGTAATCTAGCTGATATCTGGAAAAGCAAAGTTATTATATGTCTGAATGTTGTAAATTTGAAGGAAATTGTCACCAACTAAACAGATAACCAGATGGAATAATTGTCTTGTTTTCAACCAAGTGTTACATAAACTGCAAAGTTCAAAATATGCTCATATATATATATCTGTTACAATAAAAGCTAGGGATCCTGGACAGCACATGTGCACTGCTGCTGGCACAGATGAAAAACTGTTCCAAATATGTTCATGTTGTTTGGCACATGTTCACATGAAACAAAAGGTAGCTATGATAGAATGCACAAGTCATATATTTTAAATAAACTACTACCCACTATGCACATGTAATTAATTGGTAAGCAGAGTAAGTAAGAAAACAGAACAGCTTGGAAATTCAATTAATCATCTTGTATCAAAATGATATTCTTTATAATGAAAAAATAAACTTGCTTGTTCTTAATAAATGCATGCAAAGTAAACCATTAGCTGAAACAAATTAATGAGTAATAATATTATTGAAAAATTAAATATTTTAACTAGTAATCTAGGTGTCTATATCTTTGCCAAATTTCTATGTCTATACTGTCTATAAATATATATTTTACATTATAAAACCCTAGTATCAGAAAACTTTTTTATTTATCCTCGACCAAACCTAAAACAATGAATAACTTACAACTCAGAAATGGTCTTCTGTAAGGGTTTGACAAAAAATTGATTTTAAAAAATCATGTTAATAAAAATTATTCAAAACAATGAACTTCATTCAACTGACAAAAATATCATCCCTATACATTTCATAACCTAAAATAGATGACTGATAAGAATAAACTATCATTTCTGTTCATATATCCTTCTCATCTAAGATTTTCTCTATTTCAATGTCAGTATTGTTATGACAGCAGAAGTGACGCGACGCTAGGAGCATGCGTGCTGGAGTTTCTAGAAGGATCATGACTTATCGAGGAACCCTACGAATGTCCGAGTATTTGCCAGGCGCCCTCATTTTTAGTATACATGCCCGGCAAATAAAGCCAGCGAGAGATAGATATGCAGATAGATTGAAGATAGAGATAATCGAGTCTAGCAAACAGTAGGCACCGTAAGTAAAGTGTGTGAATCACTGTGAGTTATAGCATGTGTTATAAAGGTTGTTAAGTTTAAAGTGACTGTGGAAATTCTGTTTATTACAAAGTTGTATCGAGAAATAATAAACTAGTTTTAATTGTATCGCCGAAGTTCCTCGGAAAGAATTTATACCAGAAATTAACAAACGAGCAGATACACAACAGTATTATATCAGGCATCACACATTATCAGAAGCTACTACAAGCCTTTTTCTACACACACACACACACACATTTCTATTGTTCAGTCTTAACACAATCATTCCCACATTATTCTCAAACAAGCTTTTAATCACTTCAGGTTGAAAAGATGGCAAATTTCAATGACTGATACCCTACTTAAAGTAGCTGATCTGATTCTTAGCATGGATGCTTACAAGTTTAATACTAAAATATACAAGTGTTTATTATATCTAACAATTCACTGGCTCCCAAAACAGGTATGTCATTAAAAAATTATATTTTATTTCTAACACTTTTGAAGGTACATTTCCTGAATATATCAGAGTTAACCTAATACATTTGTTTCCAAATATTTTCAGGAAGTTCTGCAAAAGAAACATGGATCTTTTGTTAGAACAATTATCCTTGTTTTAAACACCAACACTAACATATCACATTAAAACAGTGTCAGCGTGAAAGTCATTTAGATTACAGTTGTTTCTTTCTGTCTCTTAAAATCCAAAATACCATCACGAAATGGTCATTCTTATGGCTGAAAAGCTTTATTTCCAACAAATTTAATGTCAAACAAAATGCCGTTGAACTGAGACAAACTGAGTGATTAAAATATTCAACTGATTTGACTAGGAGGATTTAGTGACAAAGAAACTCATGCTGGTTGAAGTACAATTAATGGAAAAGTACACATGAAGAGAATTCATGTTGTTGGTTTTACTCATGAAATAACTCCTCTCTACACTCCACAAAGTTAGAGAACACAATAACTTCTTAATAAACTTCAAACAATGGTACAAAAACATTCTTTCCAATGAAACCGGCTAATCCAAACCATGCACATGCAATAACTGTCTTGAATATGCAGAAATTGATTACATTACCTAAATACCTGGTTTCACTCACACATTCCAAGATAGAGGTCCATGCCAATGCATTTCCAATACAGAATTTACTGCATAAGATTGGACTGTGAAAGAACTGTGAAATATTCAATACTTCTACATTTTAATTAGATACGTTTATTAGTTCTTATTCTTCAACACTACATATTGCTATGAAAACCTTGAATATCATCTAATCTTCCACCTTAATACAAAAGTTCCAATGAAATAAAAAAAAAACATCTTTACTGTAAATATAAAAGCTTGTAAGCAAAGCACTGCAGTATATTTGACCTTGTTAATTACCTACACAGTTTTTAAATCATCTTAATGATCTTGTAAGCAAAATATACTGTTTTAATACAATGTAACTAATTACATCTTACTTTTTTGTGATAGTTTTTGCTTTATTGGGCATTTACCAAAATTTCTGTTAAGTTTTTCATTATTTTAGTGATCCTAACATTAGTGCAAAACAGGCCATGCTTGATGAAAACAAAACAGAAAATATTATATTTAAAATACTGCATAATCAAAACAAAGCATTTTCCTATTATGTACCTGGATGTACAATTATATGTATTTTTATTAAATGATATTCTTTTAGTATCATCCAAATATCAGAAATATCCCAATGTGAAAATATATTATCAAACTAACTACTCCAAAGGCTTCTGTAACTGGTAATTAATGATGGCACACAGATCACTATGTACTATACAGTCTTTGAACTATCTGCAAATCATTAAAATTTTTAAGAATTGAAGTTGAACTTTTTACATAACATATACCATCTTCAAAGAGCTAATGTCTTACTATAAAATTGTAATGATCAAAAAACTTTTTTTTTTCCAACAAAAAGATTCCTAAGTTCTCAGATTTAAAAACTACACTCACATGAGAAAAACTGCAATTTAAATCTTTAACTTAGTTAGCATTCCATAAAAGAAAATTGTTTAATAATAAATCACAGTCACTTATACTGTGAGTTGTTAATTAATGATATTAGATTGAAAATGTTTAGTAGTCCAACACACTTACAGATTAAGTTCAAACAGGAAAGCCTATCAACAGATATAACAACAATGCTCAAGAAATTCATTCAATTTCAATCTTATACTTGTTTCTAAACAGTATAAAACTGTTACATCTTGTATAATAAACTACACAGCACTTAGACACAATTTTAAAAACATTTTCTTAAATACAATAAATACATATACATAACAATAAATACTAGTTCACGTTCACTGATTAAAATCTTGTTTCATTCAGTTAATCATTACCATATTAAAAACACACAATATATATATATATATATATATATATATCAATATCAATACCTAAAAATAAATTTTATCATCTTTGATAGATAATTGTATTTATATACTTATATATTACCTACCAAAAAATAGCTCATTAAAACATTTCAATAAATGGAAAACTGGAGCTCATGAAGTGAGCCATTAGTTGGAGAAATCTCCAAGAGGTGCGTTCGCACAACTGGAATGACAACAATACAAGTTATAATGTATAAACACACAGTTTAATACGAAACCATCACAATTCATAATGTGATAAGCCAATGCAAATATTTCAAAATTACTCATTTCAACTGTTTTATGCCTACTCGAGACAGAGATTGTACAGTACTTAAGAACTTCACTACCACAATTTATAGACACAAGGAACTTCATAACTCAAACCAATATAGTATAAATGTTTTTATTATTGTTACCAACCTTATTTTCCTAAACCTTAAAAACTTCATTTAATTTATATTCATCCTTTAACTTTTCATCTTATGTTATGAACATTATTCTAGAGTAGCCTTCCTTTAACTTTTCATCTTATGTTATGAACATTATTCTAGAGTAGCCTTCCTTTAACTTTTCATCTTATGTTATGAACATTATTCTAGAGTAGCCTTCCTTTAACTTTTCATCTTATGTTATGAACATTATTCTAGAGTAGCCTTCCTTTAACTTTTCATCTTATGTTATGAACATTATTCTAGAGTAGCCTTCCTTTAACTTTTCATCTTATGTTATGAACATTATTCTAGAGTAGCCTTCCTTTAACTTTTCATCTTAAGTTATGAACAATTATCCTAAAGTAGCCTTTCTTTAACTTTTAATCTTATGTTATGAACAATTATTCTAAAGTAGCCTTCCTTTAACTTTCCATCTTATGTTATGAACAATTATTCTAAAGTAGCCTTTCTTTAGCTTTTCATCTTATGTTATGAACAATTATTCTAAAGTAGCCTTCCTTTAACTTTTCATCTTATGTTATGAACAATTATTCTAAAGTAGCCTTTCTTTAGCTTTTCATCTTATGTTATGAACAATTATTCTAAAGTAGCCTTTCTTTAACTTTTCATCTTATGTTATGAACAAATATTCTAAAGTAGCCTTTCTTTAACTTTTCATCTTATGTTATGAACAAATATTCTAAAGTAGCCTTTCTTTAACTTTTCATCTTATGTTATAAACGTTATTCTAAAGCAGCCTCCCTTTAACTTTTCATCTTATGTTATAAACATTATTCTAAAGCAGCCTCCCTTTTAATGGCATTAGTGTTCCCAGAGGTATTCTGATCCATCATAATGGCTGGAATAGTTTCTTCATCACCAGATTTACTCAGATTTAAATTGCTTTCTTTGGTAGAATTATATATAGGTTGGGTTGGTTCTTCCTTAGTAACTGAACATATAGAAGTCAAATCTTTAACATTAAATTTTATTTTACTACCAGAATGACCTTGTGTAGTTTCTAATATTTTTTTATCAGTCACTTTACATTTTGTACTTTGACATTCTGTTTCATCTTTTCTCTCGCGATGACCTTTTTCAAATTTTCGTTTTGGAGCCTTAGTGAGTCGAGGTAAAACATTATTTAGAGATACTGATTTGTGTTTTAAAAGGTGGCGAGGAGGAAGAGGTCTTAGCGGAGAGTATTCTACCACTGAAGATTTGGCCTTAAGTGTGGGATCTTTTTGAGGACAATACACAGGAATAGAAACACCTAAGTGTACTGCTATCTTCTCTATCAAGTTATCAATATAGTCATGAATGATAACATCTGCAGACTGATCCTG